GTTGGCAGGACCCCCACGGCATGCCAGTTGAAGCATGCGGGCGGGTGAAACGGGCAAAGAGTAATAGCCGGGTAGAAGAGATCCAGCAGAATATTCTGGATTGTCGGGGCAGGACGGCAACGGTAGTCCGATAGGAGGCCGGACACATCGTTATGAGCGAGAGGAACATATAAAGCAGAATGGACTGTAAAGGTGGACGGGAGTTGCAACACAGATAAAAGAGCATCTTCTTTGCTCTATGGTAGTAGGCAGGGCGAATGGGGGGGGGGNNGGAGCAGAAGATGTTGACGAAGCGTGATGAGCGGAAGGAACAGATGGAGCGAAAGGGATTGGTGGGTCGGCGCGGAAGTTGTAATCAGGACGGTCTTGCAGTGTTGCCTGATTTATTGATTTGACGATTTGCCTCTGGACGTGGTGGATATTTTTTTTTATATTAGTGCACTGTTTGGGTGTTTTAATTACACAGGTCAACAGCAGTTTCACCTTTGGAACATTCCAAACCTCCTTTTCACTTTTCGTAACACATGTTGTATGTTGTATTTCGTACTGTAAACATGTTGCGCTATTGTTATTAAAGCGTCATTTTGCGAGAAACATACTATAATACATAGGAAGACATACGCAATTACAAGAACCATCATCACATGAAAACTGAGGCCGCAACAGAAATTCTGAAATTAGATCTGGATTGAGAGGCAAATTATCTTCCAGAAACAATGTTTTTGTTCTTGTTACAGAAAAAAAGTTGTGTTTTTTTAGACCAGTGTTATTTGAAGAGAGAATTTAGGAGAGAGTCTAGTAACGTTATAAAAATGCATTTGCACTTAAAAATGTACTTAAAAAATATATTTACCCAATCTTAAGCTCGAGACTCCGTTCACAGTTTCGCACATATTATTCATGCGCCATCGACTCTAATGCGTTAAAAGTATATCAAGCATTTGTGTGTGTCTCTAATTACCTGGTGGAATATACAATTCGGTGTTCCATGGATTTGCTCCTAAGCCTTGATCCTTTTATTTGAACATTTAAAAATGCCGAAGAAGAAGCAGAAATCAGTAAATTCAAAAGTACAGAAGGTAATGGGAATTGGATGCTATATTTATGTTTGACGTTTGATGATATATGATGCTTGATTAATGTTTGATGCTATATTACGATTATTTAATGTTGTGATTAATGTTCAACAAATTTTAATATATTGGACAAATAAAGAATTTCATATTTTTTTGTTAAATTTACTATGTAACTTCAAAAATAAGTAAAAAAACTTTGAGGAATTAAATCGTAATCTAGGGGGAAAGTGGCATCTTACTGGAGGAGTACGAATATAACGAACGTCCGGCCCCATTGCAGTCATGGCAGGCCGGATAGGGTGTGCTGGAGCGATGGGCGAGGCTGCTTAACAGGAGATTGTGAGAAATAAACATTCGGGCAACCCCGGATAATCAGCTAGTTATATAATATATAACTAGCGATGCTAAAGCTGCACGTACTTTATCCCCCGTATTTTGGCACGAAGTTACGCGAAAAGTACTCAAGTTTTCGAAAAATTGTACCTTACCCTAAATGTAATGCTTTAGATTTTTTTCAATACCCCTCTCTCCCTTGTAACGCGCGCTTGAACCCCCCTAAATAATTACGTATCGCTTGCGACAACCCCCCCCTCTTGTAAATGCAAGAAGTGAAAATAAAGTACAGCACAGTGAAAACAATTTGTATTTATTTTACTTGTGTTGAATTTTTAAAAAAATAATCATAATTAAAGTAGAAATTAGTTCGCGGTGCTGACTGCATCTAACAATAAGATTTCAGCAATTTGTGACTGATGGAAGAATGCCTGGGCGAGAAATGGTTGATCACAAGCTGTCACTCGCCATCCAGGATGATGCAAAAGAGAGTGTCTAGAAATGGATTTTCTAGAATATACTTTATATCATTTTGAATATTTTCTGCGTAATTTGCAAATTCAAAATAAAAAAGTTAAAAAAATGTTAGTTTATTGTAACAATTTACAACTAATAACTTTAGTTTATTTATGTTTTTAAAACAAATTAATTAGACTACATTTTAATGTTTTGTACAGAACTCAGAAAAGGAGTTATTTCAGCAAATGTTGAAAAATGTAAAAAAAATCAATGTTACATATCAATTAATTCCCCTACCCCTATGTAACGCAGAGTAACGCTACCTCATGCCCCCTCCCCCACTTAAGCGGTACGTAATTTAAGAACAACCCCTTATTACAAAATCTATATTTAAGGACTATTTTCATTCAGGGAAAAATATCTGTCTTTAATATTTTAGTTGTAGAAAGACTCCGAAAAAGTTATGAACATTTGCAATTTTCGAAAAATCAGGGTTTTTAACAAACATGAGACCTGCACCATTCTCTTAAAAGTCCTTCACACTATCCAACAATAAAATTTAATAAAAATGATAGATCAATTTTTTATTGTGAACATGGAGTTCATCTAATGTGCCCCCAAAATTTGAAATATCGGTTTCTCATTCAAGGAGCAACGAAATCAGGCAAATCGATTACGGAATATCAATTTTGGCGAAAATCGGCTGATCGGTTTAGCCGCTAGCGTTGTTGACATACGGACGGACACGCGTATTGCCGTCATTCGATTTTTCGGTATCAAGGACCCACAAAACATGGATTCTGGCTACACTAGGTGTTAGAAGATATTTTTTCTCAGTTTAGCAAATGGATTTATCTGCTTTTTCGTTACCACGGCCTGTAATACGAGTTTTTCTGCCGAAAATTCGCCGGTTTTTGCGGGCAACGAAATAATTTTCTCTTTATTTTTGTAGGGAGAAAGTAAAAATCTATATTTGTTTGTTTATTCATATTTTATGCGCTTCCGTATTGTTAATCCGAATGCGATAAAATTTTGTCAACTTATTACTAGCACTTGCATGAAGAATATAGGCACAGTGCAATGGGAATATGTGTATGTCAGTCGCAAATAGACGCTCATTGATGATTTTATATGCTTATGCTGAATCGAATGCCCCTGAGCAGAAGTTTACGCAACCCGCCGAACGTGTAAGTATTAATCACGTCGTCGCTGCATATTCTGCCCCTACGATTGTGAAACCCCCGAATTATTACTTGAACGTTAGTCGGAGAAGTAAATAAAATTTCTCCAAGACAGTGTCATAGCCAATTAATGGCCAAACTTGAGGGAGAACGTTATAACAATAGGATACATGTCAACCAGGACACAACAAACCCATACTCGCGAGAAAGTCTTTCATCTATTAATTTTTTTGCAGAGCGTAGCGTAAACCATAATTAACAATCATGTGACCAGTAGTTTGTGTGAAATACATTGCAATGGCGAAGAAGTTTCGGGCCACTATTTCATAAATATGTGTAATATTTATGTTTAGTGTGTGTGTAAATATATTTTTGAACAAATCTTACATAAAAAGGACTTTAATAATAAAAAGTCCGTTATTCTAGCGATCTTCCGGTTAGTAGCAGAGTGTGATGTTCACTTGTTACAAGAAGAACACCCCTCCAATAAGCGTTACTATATTAACAAAATGCTAGAGGGCGACAAGGATCATATAGATGGAAATGAATAAAGTAAAC